ATTGGTAAGGAATTTGATTATGATTGACATGCTATGCCATGATAATCCTCATGTGGTATTGTATCATATTGCAATAGTTCATTATATAGTGTATAATATATTATACTGTACTTAATATCTGCATACTTTCCACTTTTTTATACATAGGTTTTAACCACATTGGGCATCATATTGATCCCACACTGAAATATATTAAGGGGTCTATTCACAAAGCTGCTGAAGGATCTAGCCGTAACTTCGGGTGATCCTTCTTCTAGCTTCGGCCCCAGGACCCCTTCGGTTCAGTAGAACTGAATGGCTGCTGTGCGGGCTATTCACTATAGCCCGTATAGCTCCCGAAATTGGCTGAGCGGCTCAGTCGAGCTGAAGGCATATGCTTCGGCTCGACTGAGCCGAGTTGAAAGCCGAGGCTAGCCGAATGGTCGGCCATTGGGCAGCCAACAGTCTGCTTCCGACAGCTGGGAAATGACGGCTGACTCCGGCCACTTGCATGCAGAGACAGAACCGCGTCCCCTGGTTACCAGGTAACCAGGGGTGCTGATCTGTCAGAACACTGAGAACCCGGCGGAACCGCCGTGATGGAGCCGTTGGCTGGCGTCAGAATAAAAAAAATAAACAAATTGTCCACCATAGGAATGCATTGATAGATTCCTATTGGCTATTTCAATTTGCAATAGCCAATAGCAAACTAGCTATTGCACCAGCCCACTGCTCCTGTCAATCAGCAGAGGGGACCTGCAATTCTCCATCAGGTCCCCTCTAGTGATTGACAGCAGAAGAGGGCGGGTGCAATAGCTAGTTTGCTATTGGCTATTGCAAATTGCAATAGCCAATAGGAATCTAGCAATGCATTCCTATGGCAAACATTTTTTATTAATTTTTTGACGGCAGCAGAACCGCCGGCCAATAGAAAACAGTTGGGCGGAGCTAGCTGTCACTACTAGCTCCGCACAATCGTTTCATTTCTATTTTTTTTACTTTTAACAATTTTTCTGTTCTGCTCGGTCCCACAGAGGGACCGAGCAGAACAGCCGAGCCGAATGCTGCTCAGCGGCATTCGGCTATTCACTCATTGCGGTTCTGCATCTATGAGAATAGACTGAACAGCAGTGAGTAGCCATTAGTAATGTCCTCCAAATGCATATTAATGCATATTTGACAATACCAGTGTGAATGAGACCTTCATTTTTTTTTATCTCTGAGGTTCCCTTGCCTACCACAGATGATAAAGAGAACCTGAGCAAGACAGCTGCTGAGGTCATAGCAATTCCCCAGGCCCGGGTCAGCAGGTATCAGCTGATCACAACACTACATATCACTGTATTTCCTATGAGCACAATTCCTATTGGCTGTTCCTATTCCTAACTCAATATATTATTATACAATGCATATGACTGAAAAAGAAAAAAATATATAGATAAAGCTATTATACATACCATTTTCTCACAGCATAACAGGTTTGCTAGCCTGAATCCCTTGGTTTTATATCTGCCTTTCTCAACCAGGGTGAGTTCCGACTTTGTCAGGAGAGCTTTTAAATTTATGCTAAAGTAGGGGTGTAAGAAGGGCTCCTGGTGTCAAAAGGCGGAACTCGAGTGTGAAGGGGACTCTTTTTTTTGTGTTTTTTTTTTTGCCTGGGGTCCCCTTAAAATCTTAAAATCCATACCAGACCCCTGTCTAGGATTTGGTATTGATTTTGGTGTGGGGAGAGGGGAGAACCACATATCATTTTGTTACCTTTTTTACATTTACGTTTTTTAAATTTCACACTGGGGTTTCTTAAGAATTTGGATACTTTTGAAAGGTGCCCTGGCTGCAAAAAAAGTTGAGAAATGCTGTGTGTATCAGGGACTAAGAGCAAAGTAGCCATGGCTCCCCATGATACACCGATTCCTACACCTCCAGTAAGAAGTTCAAAATACAGTATCCAAAAGGTTCAGTGCTTTCTGTTTGTCTATTTTATCACGGATTACCTCTACAGTGACTGCCAGCAAGAACAATACTATTACACACAGATGATAGGATTGAAAAATGAAAAATGTCTTGCTCCACTGCTAAATATTTGCTGTTCTGATAGCTGCCTTGGATTTTAATGTGCATAAATAGAATAGCTATTTTAACCGAAGTGGACGTTGCTGACCATTTCATGCTAATGATAATTTAATGATAAATGTCTAGACAATTTGAGCTACCTTTATCCTATGAATAATAAAAAGTCAGATTGCAAAAAAACTATCTGTAGAGTGCGTGTATCAGTGTCACTCAAGAGTGTCATCTCTGAATTGGGGCTGACACTGTCCTTCCTTCTGGAAGGTGGCTACTTTTGTTCCCCATGGTCCCTGTGTGTTGTAAAGTAGCCACCACTCTAAGCTCACTCCCATGATGGACTACAATCTCAATACAAATTAGTAAATTAAACATGAGATTGTAGTCCATCACAGGAGCAAGTTTGGATCGGTGGCTACTTTACAACACACCATGGGGAGCAAAAGTAGCCACCTTCCAAAATTCAGAGATGATTTGAGGATCTACAGCTGAGTGATACATAAATAAGATACATTTATGTTAATAGTTAAGGTACTTGAATGCATTTTTACGGTTCAACTCCTGAGTTTAGTGTCACTTTAATATACTAAAGGGGTAGAGACTTTTTACTTAGTGAATGTTCACTTTGAAAAGTGTATGATATCTTTGTATAGTGAATAATAGCAAATAAGGTGAACCTGTGTTCACTTTAAATAGACATTTCTTGTCTATTTTTACAAAAATGTATTTTTGCTAGCAAATGTTTTTTTTTTTTTAACTAAACACACCTTCATCTTATTTACCAAGCTCAGTGAACATTCACTCTGCAAAGTGAACAGTCTCTATTTCATTAGTGCAGGGCTGGACAAATCCCAGGAGCCAGATAGTTAATGCTCCTTAAAAATTACAGCAGTCATCTAACTTTCGAGGTTTATTCTAGCTGGTGTCAGTGGAGCTGACCCTGCAATTAGGGAAGGCCAATAAAAAATTTGGCAATGAGATTCGGTGGTCCACACCTGGAGAAACTCCTGGTTTTCAAAAGGGGTACATAGTGTAACTGCAATACACAATGCTATCAGTGTCTTGTCTACAGTCAAGCTTTCTGAATTATTAAAGCAGAGCTGGCCTAATCCCAAGATCCAGGTAGCCAATGCTCCTTAAAAATTACAGCTGGCTTCTAACTTTTGAGGTTTTCTCTAGTTGTAGTCAATGGAACTGGCTCCTAAAAAAATCCTGCTGGCTCCTGGATAGGACAGGCTGGCTCCTAAACTCCATATTAATTTGTCCACCCCTGTTTAGTAAATCAACCCCCATCGTGCACAAGCATGCAACTTGACCTAAGAAAGATACCTCTATTTAGCTGGAACCTGACCTATAAACTTCAATAAAGGTTTCAAAGTTCAGTAATAGACAGTTTAAATTGAAAGAAGCCATGTAAATAATTCCACAGCTAATACCTTCCCAAAGCTTGTAAGAGAGGGAAAGAAAATAAACAATGCTGGGAGGCACACTAAGCACGCAGCTAAAGTGGAAGTGATTGAAGTGTTGCCCATTAAGGCTGGTCCAATGTCGGGCATGTACAGACGGCCAGCTGTTGTAAAGGCTCATAACCTTCTCCTTTATTGTTCTGCTCAGCTAGAGGTGGGGCATGAGAGGGATTCCAAACATAGCACATGTTTATACAGAAATGTTAATATGTTCCACACACTCACATACATAAAAAGGAAATAACAGCTGATCAGAATCAGACCAGACAGCAATCACTGACAACACTCATTTGGAGAACCGTGGAAAATCCAGGGGAGCTGATCACCCACAGGGAGGTAGGAATAATCTAACTACAGCTGCCCTTTTATCTTCGGATCATCAGAATTTAAGCATCCAATGGAAAGTCAAAAGTATTTAGCACCAACCCTGCCAGTGCCATAATGTTAATGCCTTTGTCTGGCTTTAAGAATTCAGCATTATTATTTACAAAGCATTCTATGGAGCTGTGACATTCAATAGACCCCTCCGCTCTTGCTTCTACAGACATATATTTTTATCTGCAGTATAGGTTACATCATTTTGTAATCAATATTTAGTTTGACGTATTCACTAAGTAGCTGGAAAAAAAATCAGTAAAAAAATTTGTATGGAACTATTAAACATACCGGTCTGCCAGCACAGTGCACTCAAAATAAGAACAACGTATTTACTAAATGGTAATAAAAATGAAGGAATAATACAAATAATATTATTTTTAATCAGGTTCCTATCAGGTATATCAAACTGAACTCTCTATATATTTGTAGGTTTTAGCAATGTATGCAATTAGTTGTAATCAGCTCTATAAAATTCACAAAACCATTAAAAAAAAACATAACTAACAGCAAAAGCATTACGTTAATACGTCAAAGACTGAAAATAACATATAAATGCTAGCTCCTGTTTCTCACTAATCAAAACGAGAAAATAAATCCACTTCTAATCTGATTTCAAGGTTCTTTTATCTGTGATTGCATGATGTAAGCTTCTTAATTGAGCTACACTTGTCTCATGAAAACTGTAAAGCCAAATAATCATCTTTGCAAAAGCAGTTTTCAAAAGGGCACTCATAATTTTATTTAGTATCTCTAGTCTTCAAGTGTACCAATCGGAAGGGAAGCTCTTTAGTGGCATCCCTTTAACCCCTTGCTAGGGATACTTTTCCCTTAGCTGTCATTTTATAAAGCACTGCCTGGATTCAGAATTCTGATATGTTGCATGTACGCATTTAGATAGATAGGATAGATAGATAGGATAGATAGATAGGATAGATAGATAGGATAGATAGATAGATACGTCTGATTTTTTTACATTTACAAATAGATAGATAGATAAATAGACCAATAGAATAAAAATGTTGATTTATAAATATATAAATAAATATGTTTGATTTTTTTGATTGATAGATAGATAGGTAGATAGATAGATAGATAATCATATTTTCTTACCTTTTTCAGTGTTTATTCCAATAGCTGTGAATGAATCCCATTCTTAATCCAAAGGTTTGTAAGGCAAAAATTGTAGTCCAAATTGATTTCAAAATAATATAGTGTTAGACCTCTATAAGAAAGAAAAAAGAATTTCAGAAGTGCAATTTCTCATGGCACACTTGATGCCTGTCAGAACCCAGCATCTTAGCCTTCTACCCACAAGCTGCCTATTTCACACATTAAACATTTGTGTTGTGCCTGAAAAATAAAAGTTCACCACTAAATATATTTCTCAGAGGTACTGCCAACACAAACACTGTCTATTTCCTCCTAGCCGGCAGCCAATCATAGACCCCCCCTCCAATTCCCACTAATCCATAACCAGTGGAGTTCAATCCTTAACAAAGCTCCCTTAACATTAATATAAATATTATTGTTTAAATTAAAAGCGGTGCCGCTCAGCATGACACACATAGCTTGAAATAAGTCTTGCCTATTGTTCCAGCCAGCTCAGATATCCCAGGCAGATGATGAGCAGGGGATCAGTGAACATATGTAATAATAAGAGACCAGGCTCATAGAAATTAGCAAGAGAGCCTCTGCAAACACACACAAGCGGTTCTGAGGCTGAAAAAAAAGGATTGAAACATCTAAAGATTGCAAGAGAATGAGAGCCACACAAAGTCAAAAAACTTGCTTTGTGTTCATCTGTTGTGCAGTGACAAGGAGAGATGTCATTGCAGGTTGGAGACTATATCATTAACAGATGTTGTAACTACTCCAAGTGCCTTGTAAGTGAGTACAGCTTCTCCACCTACCTCTTAATATTAATGTGAGCTATCAATGAAGTTTGAGAGTTGACTTGTAGCACCCCCTTTCTGTCACTCTCTCCTCTTTCAAACTCCCACCTATCTATGTCTTCCGGCTGTGGTCCTCTCTTCTGTTCTCAGTTTGATTTCCTCTCTTGTCGATTTCTTTTACTACTATCCCTATCAATTCCCTCTCTGTCTTTTTCTCTATCCCACTTCCCTCAGCCTTCCTTCCCTTGTAACTTCTGAACGTCTCCCTTGCTGGCACATCTGTATCTGTACTCCTCACTCACTTCTAAACCTTCTTCCCTCCCAAACATAGAACTTGCTAGCACAGAAGATTAGAGAGGGGGTGGGGGGGGGGTAATGTGAATGTCAAATGGACAAGAGCCATTGCAGTCATATATCAATCACAAGAGGAGAGCAGCAGTTCGGCAAATAGGAGTACCAAGGAAACTTGAAGCTCCCCTTATCTGGGAAATCACTAAACAAGATTTGCTGAAATGACCACAAACTAGATTCACATGTTTATTAGCATCCTAATGTGGACTGTTAAAAACTGGAAGGGAATGCAGTTTTTAAATGCTCAAGTAAATCTGTTTTTATGTTCCCCACTAAATCATTTCCAGATTTGCCTGTTAATTGTAATTATTTCAGAACTGAAAATAATAATATGAAAGAAAGATAAAATTGTTTATTGAAAATGTTCCAAAATTGAATACATTTTTTAATATTACTTATCTTGAGAGTATCATAGTTCCAGTGGTGTCTATTTTCTAAAGGAGAAGAGCATGTTCACTTTGCAGTGAATGTGGTGAAAATTCCCTTTGCATAGAGTACGCAATCATGTGCAAGGGAGATAAAAAAAAATGTTTTGCTTGAACATGATTGGATGATTGAAGTCAGCAGAGACTCAACTCACAGACTCATAGATACCCCTTTAGTAAATCAACTCATTACATCAAATTATTATTTTGGGGGATAAAGCCATATGGTGTTTGATGTGTATTATTTTTTAAACAGAATATAAGCAAGAGGACGGATGCTGGATCTGATTTACGGCAATAGACTATCTGCACAGGAGGCGAGGCGATTGCTGGAGGCGATTTTTATTTAAGGAGAATTAAAACAGACCGAGACCCTCCTCAGATAAATCCCTGTGGCCCCACTGCAAACTTGCAGAGTGGAGAGGCATAGTATAGTGTGCTCCCCCCTCTGCTGGATGGGATCCGCACCTATCTTGACACCCCTTTGGTTTATACTAGATAAATTGCCTCTGGGCCCCTGAGGAAGCACACCAGTGAAATGAGTTGGGGGAATGAACCCATGTCACAATTGAAATATGATTGTGAAGACACACACAAATTAACTGAGAGGAAATATTGGACAAAATTGGTCAATTGGCATTGTTATTGTTACCAGATCGTAAATGTGGCTGCGGGAGGCAGATTGTAAAGGAGGGGACAAAACTTAATGTGTTTTTATTCCCATATTTATTGCATGTTAATATTGAAAAAAATCTGTTGGAATCAAATAAATGAATACTGATTTTAAACAAATACAATGGTGTGTGCCCCTTAAAACTCCAGATTAATTGTTTTCGGTGTTAGTCGATAATAGGGGGCGCACATCGAATTGACTGACTCTGGGGATAACCCCTTCATGACTGAGGCCTTTTTTAATGGGGCAACGGAGCACGGGAAGCACGGCGGCGGTGTCCGGCGGGGAGGGCGCCCCTTCTACTGGACTCAGAAGCGATCTGGCGACAGTTAAGTCGCCAGAATCGCTTCTGTTGTAAAGCCGACAGTCTGCTTTACAAGTTTAAACAGAGTCCCGGGAGTCTGTTTAAACAGCCCCGATGCTGGTGACGTACACTGTACGTTGTAAGTCACGAAGGGGTTAAACAGAATATAATTTAATCAGATTAGCTAAAAAAAAAATGCACTTATGCATTCTCTTAAAAGAGAACTAAAGCCAAACATTTTCTGAGCTTTAGTCCTATTTTGGGTCAAAGGATTTTCTAATGTACTCCTGTGACCCAAAGTCAGCATCTAGTGGGCTGCTGCCCACTAGATGCTGACAATGCAGAACCGCACTGCAGCTGGGAAAGATCCTAATAATATTGTCAGAATCCACCCCGCTGCCTGATTGACAGCTCTCCATAGCCAGAGCCAGCTGTGAGCCACCCCATCCCCTGTCTGTCCCTCTAATAAGCACTGGTGGAACAGAGGGGGGAGGGGGTTAAATACTGTGAGCTGAGCTATCATCAGTTACATGATTGGTCACTTCACAATCAATACAGCCAGCATGTGACACTTACAGTGTCACACACTGGCTCTAAGTATTAGGAAGAGTAAAGTTTACTCTACCAATACTTCTCCTTAAGATAGCGTGTGACAAACAAAATGGCATCATTTTGTAATAGCTGGTGCCCTTAAGAAGGCCTTGCATGCCCTTCCATCCTGCCCTGTGCCTGTCCACCTTTTCCCACATCCAGTGCAGAGTGGTTGTATTCAATGAACATACTTTGCTATTGTAGTAAAGTGACAACAGCCAACTGTGGTATGTGCTTTTGTTTCAAAACAATAAGTAGAAAGCTCCACTATAAGTCTCTTCATTTGTTCACATCACTGATTGATTTACTAAAGGGGTAAAGGCTGTTCACTGTGGAAAGTGGAGTGAGGATTATGCATACATAACTGCCAGATGATTTCTAAATCTGGCCATCCAGTCTTGAAATCTGGCCATCCAAACGTGCCAGACAGCAAAGCCACGTGGATGACACTACTTTCTCTGATCCCGTTTTAGACTGTAAGGGATCATGCACACAGGCACATGCATGGAGTGTAAAATATGACCAAGAGCCCCAGCTGCTGCGTTATTCTGTTCATCAGAATGTATGGACAGAAACCACTGTGGTAGATGCCAGTACCAGTGTTTACATATGCATGCGCATGCGCATGGGCATAACTTCCTGAATGCAGCTGTTTCGCATTCAGGAAGTTATGCCCGTGTGCATGCATATGTAAACACTGGTACTTACACGTGTGCAAATGTAGACACCGATATCAGCGTTTATGCATGTATTCCTGCCCATACATTACTATTATTACTATACATAATTTATATAGCGTCAACAGGTTGCGCAGTGTTTTACAATATAAGGAAGACATTACAATTACAATACAATTCAAGACAAGATGGTAAGGGCTTAAAATCTAAAAGGATGGGGCAAGTGATACATGAGGAGGTAGCTGTGTGGGGATGAATTGTTTGAGAAAGTGATAGTTCAGTGGTTAGTTTGAGGTGGGATAGGTTTCCATAAAGAGATGAGTTTTTAGGGATTGCCTTAAGGCAGTCAGAGTAGGAGATAGACGGACAGGTTGGGGTAAAGAGTTCCAGAGGATGGGAGAGACTCCCGGAGGTGTGCATGGGAGGAGTTGAAGAGGAAGCTGGAAAGCAGGAGGTCGGTTAGGGTGACACCTTGAAAAAAGTTGTAGTGCTACCCCTGTAGGAGCCGCTTGTGTAACAGGTCTTTCTGTCCCCTCTGCACCAATGCACCGCCCAATTGGTGGATCCACAGCTCACCAACACACCTTTGTAGAGTTTTTGTAAAGGGTTTAATGGCTGAATAACACAAAATAGTCTCTTAATAATGTAGCAATAACACACTATACAATATGAAGTAATCGATGCACTCTGACATCCAGTGACTGCGGCTATCTATTGCCTATACGTTGTCCTGTGATGTCAGAATGTCTCAGGACATTCTGACATCACAGCTCATAACCACTTGTCTAGGGTCACCTAAGGCCTCCGGTAACGATCGCCACTCGATTCCTCTCGCTGCGCTGGGCTGGCTGAGTTACTCCAGTGGCTGGATCAGCCACACGACCAGGCCGCAATATCCCCACTGCTGATGCGTCACTAGGCCTCCGTTCCGGCACCCGATCTCTGTCACTTCGTCCCACAAACGAACAACTGTCTCTCCAGTACGGCAACACAGAGCCTGTGTCTCTCTGGTTATCGAGGGCGACTACCCGCTCCACTGCAGAGAGTGCTAACTCACATGGTCTCACAACGATAATCACACTTCATGTCCCAGACTGCGCGCGCTCATCCCTCACAGTCCATCTCCATCCCCCTCCTTCTCGCACAGCCTTCTGGGAGTTGCAGTCCTCAAAGTCCTTTCAGCAGTATGTCCATATCTGCTCTGCACTGCAATCCCCATAAACCTCGCCTCTCTTCACAAACGGAGGCAATTAACTGTTTGCCGTCAGAAATACCGATCTACATAGTAGCACATATATTCATCTATATAGGGGCTACAGAGGTTTGAGATATTATAGGCTGATTTGCTGCGCTTTGTCTGTGTCCCAAAAACAACAATGTGTCAATGATTAACTCAAACAAACTTGAAACATATCTGTGAAAAACTACACTTGGAATAACCTTAACACTTTGTGGACAAACTGCAACAATGTATAAGGTTTGAGATATAGACGGGGGCAAAGTTGCGGATGGCTTTGTAAGTGGTTGTTAATATTTTGATATTTATCGTTTGGGCGAAGCCAGTGGAGGGATTGACAGAGGGGGGTTGCAGACACTGAGCGGTTGGTTAGGTGGATGAGTCTAGCAGCAGCATTCATGATAGACTGAAGGGGGGATAGCCTTTGTAGAGGTAGGTCAATGAGGAGGGAGTTGCAATAGTCAAGACGAGTGATAACAAGGGAGTGGATTTAATTGGTGAGGAAGGGGCATATTTTGAAGATGTTATGAAGGTGAAGATGGCAGGATTTGGATAGTGAATGAATGTGGGGCAGAAAGGTGAGGTCTGAGTCAAGAATGACACCTGGCACCTTGGCATGGGGGGAGGGATGGATAGTTGTGTTATCAATCTCAAGGGAAAAGTTGGGGGATGGTGCATGGGCGGGAGGAAATATCATGAGCTCAGAATTTCCTATGCACAGAAAAATGCATCAGCTGGGGCTCCCGGTTGCCAAAAATACAGGCATATTTTACACTGTACACCAATAT